AACAAAGGCCCAGGCGATTCTCAGGGTAGCCAATGACAGAGCTTGCAGGCAGACGGGGCTGATGAACAAAGCTATCCGTTATCAAAATACAAATACAGAAAAATGGAGTTTACAAATTAAAAACAAAAGTTAAAAAGGAAAAGATCGACCAGGGGAAGAAGCCACTGTCTGTCACTCCCCTCAGGGATCTGCCTTTTCAACTGACCGTGCTGGGAGAGGACAAGTCTGCGTCCCCTGTCACCCTGGCACTCATCCCCCAGCTACAGAAGAAACAGGAAGTTAGCAATAGGCAAAGAAACTCTTGAGGAAAAGCACGCTGCAGAAGTAAACCCCTTCAACCTGGAATCCCTTGTTTTGAGTCTCTGCCTAAAGTCCCCCACTGGACAGCCAGTGAGCACACAGCCCCCGCAGAAAGAACCCCACCTTCTCCACCTACCCATGAAGGGGAACCCAAAAAGATGGAAGACTCCACACACTCATCCTGCTCCCAACACGGAGCCTTGTGCAAACTAAGGGCAGAAAGTAAAGCAGTTCATCTGACAAAAAAAAAAAAAGGCCCGCAACTGTGACAGCTCTAAAAATTTTCAGAAAATAGCACAGCTGAATTAATTAGACCTGGTTCAGGGACTGGCACTTTCTAGGGAATTAAGGACTGCCCAGGAGCTGATGGCCTGAGGCGAAGCCAGGGGCCATTAACCCTCACCAGCCAGCCAGCCAGCCAGCCAGCGGGAGGCGTGGGAGCAGGGCCACAAGGCCAGGGCACCCCAGCCTGGGCGGGGTGGCCTGATCTGGGGAGGGCTCCCATCACTAGCACCGTCTGGGTGGGTGTCTGCGGAGAAGCGTGCAGGATGCCTTTAGGACACGGACCCCAACCACCCTGTGCTACAGGTGGAAGCGGCGGGGGTGGGTGGGTGTGAGGAGAGCAGCTGTGTTTCTGCCCTAAATTTTATGGCATCAAGGATGTAGCTGTCTGGGAACCTTTCCTGAATGTCCAGTATGTGACGGCTGCCTGGGTGCTGTGCTTCCAGACCCCGGTGCCACCTGCTGTCTCCTTCCTTTCAGAGCTTTCTTGTCCCACCGCTGGGGAAGGCTGCAGCCATGGCCGAATCAAAGGGTGGGGGATGGGTCTGCTAGCCTCATGGTTCCACGCCTGGTTCCCCAGATCGAGCACAGCTCGATCACCTGTGAAAAACCTCATACCTGCTTAGGACCAACCCCCTACCTGCTTAGAAATGGGATCAACAACACCTGTCCACTGAGGTCGCAGGTGTGGGAATCGCCCCCACCCGGCCCTGAGCGGAACCCCGCTTCCCCATCCTGCAGGTGTGTGCCTCTCTGACCTGCAGTCAACGGGCAGGGGCGCAGGACCCACCTTCCTGGCCTGTCCCGGCACCTGGCTGTGCCCGCGGGAAGCGCGCACCCGAGTGGATGCTGCGGGCATGGCTACCAACACCCTACACAGACCTACTGCTCAATGTGGAGGCACAGAGCCGGGAATCCCCATCCTCACAGCCGCTCAAAGACCCCTGGAGCACAGGTCCCCCTCACGGTCAGCAAACAAGCTGAGAGGGGCTGCAGGATTCGGGTGTGTGGGGGCCAGTTTTCACCACTTACAAACGCACTCCATAACCGTGTTCTAATGAGAACATCGGCGGGCGGGACGCCTGGCTGGCTCAGTCAGATGAGCCTCCGACTCTTGGCTCGGGCTCAGGTCACGATCTGAGGGCCGTGGGATCGAGTCCCCGATGGGCTCTGTATTCAGCGGGGAGTCCGCTGGAGATTCTCTCTCTCCCTCTGCCCCTCCCTCCCGATGCGGGCTCTCTCTCTCTCAAATAAATAAATCTTTAAAATTAATAATAACAACATCAGTGGGAAACAGAGGAACAACCGTACTGCTTCTGGAGGGCAGTGGGCATGGCGAATGCTGGGGGCGCCCTCTGGGGGCATCCTCTGGGCGCCGCCTGGCTGGCCACAAGCCCCTGCACACACACATCCTGCGTGGAAGAGAACGTGCTGCGTGGGAGGGGAGCCAGGCCCACCACACAGGAGAGAAACACACATCGCACAGCAGAGGCACGTGCATGGGACATGTGAGCTCGGCAGGTGTGAGGGGAACACGCGGGGTGGGTGTGCAGGGGCGCGAGCTCAGGCTCAAGCCCTCCCTCTCACTGCCTCTCAGAACCGTGACTGCCCGCGGCCCGCGTCTGCCCCACCACCTCGCTGAGCACGCAGCTCGGGGCACAAACCACTCACACACAACATCCGCGTTTGTTGGACGAGTGCACGCGTGCACGCACTCCCGACGACGTCACACGCTTTCCCAGAAACAGGGACTCTTTGATACCTATCATGTGGAGTCACCCACGAGAGGCCGCTGCAGGCGAGGCGTGGAACCAGGAGGCTAGCAGACTCACCGCCCACCCTTTGATTCGGCCATGGCTGCAGCCTTCCCCAGCGGTGGGACAAGAAAGCTCTGAAAGGAAGGGGACAGCAGGTGGCACCGGGGTCTGGAAGCACAGCACCCAAGCAGCCGTCACATACTGGACATTCAGGAAAGGTTCCCAGACAGCTACATCCTTGATGCCATAAAATTTAAGTTAAATATTTACCTTGTCCGTGCCCTACTGGAAAGTTGGGTTCTAAGACTGACTCTTAATGACAAAAGTTATTCATTTCACTAGGTCCAAGGACGGATGGCTGTATTCTGGAAACAGGACTGTCTGTGTCATGAAACTACATTGATGCAACAGGACATACAGAGCTGTAATCGGCAACGCGCTGCGGGATGCTGACCTCACAACCCGGGGAGTCCTAACTCCCTGCACGGTGCTCCCCACAGAGCCTGCAGAGACCTTGCTCCAACAGGATTTAAAGAGGATTAAAGCACGTCAGGTCATCTGGGGCTGCTCCTCTCTTGGGGCCACAACTAAGTCTGACTTGTGGATGCCCTCGTTGCTTCGTCTGGCCTTTAATTCACTGAGCATCCCTCATGACATCATAGTAATTTCTTCCCTAATCTCAGAGTTAAAAAGTGATACCTCCACCAAAACGTTCCATGGGACAGCCTCAGGACCGAGCGGAATTGACAAGCAGGCGGGTGAGGTGAGGCGCTTCGACACCGGCAGACAGGGCCCCGCGGGCTCCCCGACACCTGCCGTGTGATGGCTTCCGGGGTCGGCGGTCGGCCCCACATGGGAGCCACGAGTCCGCCTTCAGACTCCCCGCCCCCTCCAGCGCCGCTCCCGCAGGGCCGGGCCTGCACCACAGCATCTGCGCGCGGGCGCCCCCCCCCCAACCCGCAGCCCCGAGGCACCCCGTCGGGCGCCCCCCTGACCCACACAGCAGCCCCCACAGAGCACAAGCTCCTCTTCCCCGCAAGATGCCCACTGGAAGCCATTTAATAAATCCTCCTTACCTGACATTCTTCCAGAAGGAAAATGACACACACGTTCAGAAAAGTGAAAATTAGGAAAACAATCTACCTCACAAATGCTCACATCACCCAAAGGTAACTGTGGCTCAAATTCTGAGGCCTTGTGGCCTGTTTCTGCCTAGTCTTTGCCGCACCTTAAGACTCAAGTCTGTACTTTATCCTCTGCCGTCCTAATCGAGGCATAACTGACGTAATATTGTATCAGCTGCACGTGTACATCCAATGACTCAACGTCTGTAGCTATTGAAAAATTATCTGCTTTTTTAACACTACTGGGATCACACGATGTATACAATTTTAACATTTCACAGAATCATCTAATGATTCTTAAATTATGACACTGATAAGTTTGTAACTTAACGAGCAGTCAGTAACAAGCACTCCACCATGAGGAACCAGGTTCAACCGGGTCCAATCATGAATCTGCCACCATAGACGGCAGCTCCATCCAACCTGATACCGGCAGGTGATTGCTGCTAACTGTTTCACAATTATTCGTGCCATTAGAACACTATTCCTTGTATAGAAAGGTCTTCCTAGGGGCGCCTGGGCGGCTCAGTCAGTTGGGCGTCTGCCTTCGGCTCAGGTCATGATCCCGGGGTCCTGGGATCAAGCCCTGCATCGGGCTCCCTGCTCAGCGGGAATTTACTTATTTATAAATAAATAAAATCGTTTAATAAATAAATAAATAAATAAAATAAATAAATAAATAAAGGTTTTCCTATGTTTTGGGTATAGGAAGTAAAGTTTACATAATATAAACATTTATCTATAAAGCTCTACACATAAACTGTCAATCTAAAGTCTCTCCTAACAGGAGAGGGGCAATGTCGCTACTCCACACCCAGCAGCACACTCTTCCACAGCTGTCTTAAAGCCACTCCCCCGTGGGACAGTGGTAACTGGGCAGAGGCCCTGCTCCAGGGCACGTGGCCATTTGCACATTTCCCCCAGGATCCAAGACAGTTCACATCCTCACAACATCCTCAGCACCCGTGGGGTACAGAGAGCAGATGGCTTGATCGCTGTCTTGGCGATGAGGACCATGAAGTCCAGTAAGGTTAATCCATTCGGTCAAGGTCATACGTTTGTGTCCAGCCACGAACTGAGCGCTGGTCTGTGAGTAGCCAACACTCTCTCTACAAGAGTGGCCAGAACAGCCCCTCCCGGAGTGCGTGGCAGTGAAAGCCTGGAGCTCGATGGGATTATGGCCTCATCCAGGCTCGGCTGGAAAGAATGCTGTGAGCACTTACAGTGGTCATCCACCATCCCGAGCAGAAACAGTGGTGCCGACCACGTCCCCTGGATAGCTTATCAATCACTTACACAGCAAACCCTACGTAACCCCACAGACTAACACTATGACAGTGATGCTACACAGAGTAAGTTTAAATTATTGAATTCAATTATTACATACAGTTGGATATTTAAATCCCAGTGAAAGTTTTATTTTGTTTGTGTGGCATTAATTTTCTCAAATGTTGTTTGAAAAATCAAGAGCAAAATGGTTATAAAACTAAGAATAGGCTTAGTAATTAACATATATACATTTGTCAAAAATAGTTACCTGATTATCATATTTAAGAGACTGCGTCCCAACCAAAAACCGAATGGCATCTGTTTCTGCAGTCTGAGGTGTTAGAGCACGGGCCTGCAGGAGGGAAGGAAAATGCACACACATTTAAGATGTTAGATGTAACAGAGACGATAAGGCAGTTACCTCCTCTACTGCTGCGGGAGTATCAATTAGTACAAAGTGCCCACTAGGCAACTTAGAAATGTGCATGCAAAGCCTCCATCTTTTGTATACTTTGTGACACCACAATTCCATTCAAATGCGTATATGGGCACGAAAAATAAGCAATAAAGATGTAAATGGTATTTTTAATAAAACCATAATTTTCAACAGAAATAGACTGGTGGAACAAATCATCTTTCAACAGTACAGCAGAAAATGGTTCCCAGCAATGGCAGAGCAGGTGGTTTAAACCAAGTCTCTGGCAGAGGACAACTGCAGAAACTAAACAAAATACTCTGAATTTGTTTCAAGGCCTCCTTTAAGGAGCTACCATAGCGACGAAGGAATGCCAAGATCTTGGAAAGGGAGGGAAGCTTAGAGAGGCAAGCCTGACCTCTGGCCCCCTTTCGGCTGGAGGCATCTGTCAGTCTGGAAAGTGTGGCTAGCAGCTGACACTGAGGAATGCTTCTGACAGGCTCATAGACTGAGGGTACAAACATGGAGTGCAGGGCCCACCACGGAGAAGGGGCCAGCAAAGCACTAACACTCAGGGTTGGGATCCCATAGGGCACAGGCCAGGAGTGAAGGTGAACTAGAAGGTCAACCTGCACAGACTAACGCTCCAGGTCACCTTAGTCCATGACTGGATTTTAAGTGAACTAAGCAGGATGATGCTCCTGGGCTGGCCAGCCACCTGCCAGAAGTAACAGTAAATCCTCTGGAGGAAGACAGACTTCCAAAGTTTCTACAGTTTTTCTCACAATGTCAAACACTCAATCAAAAATAACTAGTCATACAAAAAGTCAAAATCATATGATCAAAAGCCAAACAATAAACAACAGAAAGGGACCTGCTGAGCATTCAGATGATCAGGTTCTCTGGGAAGCAAGCTGTAAATCATCAAGCTTTGTGCACAGACTTGCTGGAAACACTCTTGGGAATGACATCATGGAGGAAGCAGCAGTGAAGGCATCAAGGAAGCAGGAATGTGCAGAGGACACAGAGGAACTGCAGTGCCCACAGGGAGGCCAGAGCTGGGATGATCCCTCAGAGTGGAGCCATCATGGCCAGGCTCATCTATTGCCCAGCCCCCAACCCCATTGATCAGGCATTGGAAGCAGGCTGTCCCTGGAGAGGGGTGTGACTTAGGGCAACATGGCTCCATTCAGCTGAGGGCACGTTCCGGGATTATGGGTGACTGATAGCTCTCAGTGGGTCCTGCTTTAGAGTTTGCCCTCTCCCTCTGCCCCTTTCCCTACTCGTGTGTGCTCTCTCTCTCTCTCTTTCTCTTGCAAATAAATAATCTAAAAAAAATAAATAAAACGGGGTTAGAGAAACAGTAGAGCAGTCGTCCTAACCATTCAGTCTGCCTGGTTTTGATTTGCTTTCCACGACTGGGGTGAACAACAAGACCTTTTCAGTGTCCACTGCCAAAAGGTTTGGAGACAACGATTTCATGTCATGCTCTCAGAAAACACAACCATAGCCCCTATATCCCAACCCCTCCTCACAAAGGGTTGCTGGCACAAAAACATCAACTACCAGAATACATTTCGGTGACAGCAAGAAAATACATGTCCAGAACAGTATTCACATTATTAGGCATCTGGAGGAAAAAATCCATTCTAGCCAATATGCCTACAACCTGTTCAACAAAACTAGACTGGAGTCAGACCTCTTCACAAAACTGATGAATTGTTTTGAGTCTATACACCTTCTGCCAAAAATGCACATACATACACGTAGAATTTTGCACATAATACCACAAATTCACAGACCCCCTGAATCCTATTTAATTAGAACACCACTTGGTTAGAGAAAAATGGTGAGGAAGCATCCACCCCATTGCAGAAATAAACCCCCAGCTGCTCAGAAGGCAGAACCCAGGTCAACAGAGGGGATGCGGGATGGGCTCCACCTTCAAACAAGAACACTAAGACTTAAATGGAGGTACATGTCATCATCCCAGACAGAAAAAGCCTGAAAGTCCCCAAAAACAGGGCCCAGAAGAGGACTCATCTGAGAGGAAATGATTATTTTCCATGAAAAGACTTGTCTGTGCTTGGAGTCAGCAATCGTGAGCTGACTACACAACGCCTGCACGGTGGCCACGCATGGAAGGTACCACAGAGGGTAAGACAGTAGCCCTGCCCTCAGGAAACAGACCTGCAGGAGACATCAGACAAGACCCAAACAGAGCAGGTGGGAAATGACTACGTATCGGCCCCTGGCCCAGACCACAGCAGCAAATTAACATTTATCAAAACGCATCCACGAGCTCAACTTCAGGCAGAAGACAGGATTAAATGCCATTACTGGAAAACAGAAGAACACCAGAAAGAAGTATGTTGTGTTAGTGGCCATGAGACTGGACAAAAGGGCAGCTCAGCGCTACAGAGGCTGCTGAGTGCCATCACGAACCAGCATTCAACCTGCTTCATCCTGAAGCAATTTACAGAGCCCAGAACTGCACCCCTGGGCAGGACTATCGGTAAGCATGCAAGGAAATAAAGTCGAAGAGATCATGTGTTTCAGAGACAAAAGCTACCACAGTTTTAGAGAAGTACTACAAGTCTGACACTACGCATTCTGTCACACACAGTAAGCCACTTCTTTTTTAAAACACTGAATAGGAAGGGCACCTGGGTGGCGCAGTCGGTTAAGTGTCCAACTCTTTGTTTCAGCTCAGGTCAAGATCTCAGGGTCATAACATCGAGCCTCATGTCAGGCTCTGCGCTCAGCTCAGAGTCTGCTCAAGATTCTCTCTCCTTCTCCCTCTATCCCTTTCCCTGCTTGCACACTCATGCACTCTCTCTAAGATAAGTAAATAAAAATAAAAAACTGAAGAGAATTATTCTTACAAAAGAATCTAAACTGAATCTTTAAAAATTACAGTGAAATCTCAAAAACATTGAATCTAAGATCTTTTTAGTACTTTATTGGGTAAAATTATTATAATAACTTAACTCCGGCCATTTGGGTGATGGATGTGTATCCATAATTCTGGTTCTGTGATGAAGTGAATGATCTAATGACCTTCCTACGTCTAGTCATAATGATGATTTTGTGGTGTTCCAATGACCTCATTGTTACAAGATCAAATTGTAGGGTATAATAGGTCATAAAACATCTCCGTGTATTTTACCGTGGTTCATCTTCATAATACAATGAAGGAGACCCAAAGTCAAGATGGATAATATCTCTACTTAGAAGATAAAGATGCTGAGGACCAGAGAGGTTAAGTGACTCAGTCATGGTCACAAAGCTCCTAGAGGAAGAACCACCCAGACTCCCAGCCTTGAGTCTGGTTCTCTTTCTGTTATGGTGATGCAGGGACCCAGGAACACAGGTAAGATATTTACACACGGGACTGAAGGCAGAGCACAGGCCACTTTTTTATCATTCCATGCCCTGTTCTCAAAAGAAGGGCCATGGCACTTTCCTGACACAGCTGTCTTTCCACCCACCTCACCGTTTAGTGAGCCAACCCAGGACAAGGCAACTGGAGATGCTGAGAAGCCTGGCTCTCACCAGAAGCACTCTGAAAGTTCCACTCCGTGACAAGAGGCACAAATCCCAGACCTCCCAGTACTCGCCGAATACTAAGCATTCCCTTGGGAAATTCAAAACTGTCTTCATGTGCTTATTAGTCTGAGCAAGTAAACGCTCCCTCTGGTGAACGTCCAGCCCAGTTCCTCATCAGAACTTCCCCCACCAGGCGCTGCGCCCCAGGCAAGTTTAAGGTGATGCCGGAAGGCGAGGAGGTGGAACAGGACTTGTGTTTAAGCAGCAGAGACAAGGGTGGGTTGAACCTTCTACAGTGGGCGGTCTCCCCCCAGAAACAGCCTCTTTACTGAGAGCTGCCCCAGATCGCTAGGATGACAAACCAGGAAGCTAGTGACCACCCAGTGCCCTTCCTCACACAGCAGATCGCCTCCTCAGCGATCTGGCAGATCACTTTACAAACACAGAAGAAAGAGCAAAAAGAAGGTAAAGCCCCAACTTCTTCACTCTGTGCTAACTGAGTACCTACTTCTCTCCGTCTCCCACACCCAAAATCACAGAGGTCCAGAGTGCATAAGAGGAACACTAAACCTCTTGAGCTACTCATGGATAATTATGGCAACAACACTGCTCCTGGGGACACGGACACGCTCACTGGCGCGTTCACTCACACACTCACTCCTGTAAGTGCAAAGGCTGACCATTCAGCTCCACCAAGGGGCTGCCGCCTGCCCCTCGTCCACTCTGCTCTGCACTGCCAGATCCTCTGGAGGCCCCCGTGCAACCCAGCCCGACCTTACAGCGAAGAACTCGCCTCACACTTGAGCAGCAACACAGAAGCTATCAGCTGGCCTCCTGGAGACGTCGCCACCTGCCCTCCTACCCAGAGATGGGTGCTCCTGCCCTCCTGCCCAGAGAAGGGGGCGCCCCTGCCCTCCCGCCCAGAGAAGGGGGCACCCCTGCCCTCCTACCCAGAGATGGGGTGCCCCTGCCCTCCTGCCCAGAGAAGGGGGCGTCCCTGTCCTCCCACCCAGAGACGGGGAGCCCCTGCCCTCCTGCCCAGAGAAGGGGGCATCCCTAACCTCCTGCCCAGAGAAGGGGCGCCCCTGCCCTCCTGCCCAGAGATGGGGCATCCTTGCCCTTCTGCCTAAAGATGGGGAGCCCCTGCCCTCCTGCCCAGAGATGGGGTGCCCCTGCCCTCCTGCCCAGAGAAGGGGGCATCCCTGCCCTCCTGCCCAGAGATGAGGAGCCCCTGCCCTCCTGCCCAGAGATGGGGCAGCCCCTGGTGCCCGCCTGCAGCACACAACATTGGGCAGCCCTCTCTCTTCTCTGTCCATCTCCTCTTCTCTGGCTTCTTCTCCTTAACTAGGAAAATCAAGTCCCATGTCCCCTTGTCCTTTGAAAATATC